TGTTATTTAAATTATTTTCAGTGACTGACAAAGCAATAACAAGATTTTCAACAAATTTTCTTTGGCATTTATGATACTACTTAATACCTTAATAGTGAGATGTTCAACCGACACCTCGCCCTCTCTTCACTGCTTAACTTTATTGAGCTATATGTTACTTCTTAACAGACATCACAATTTCCACACATTTGGCCTGACAGTTTACGTTGGCCTGAGGGAAGTCATTTTGAACACCTTACAGGGAACACGGGCATATTATGGCAGTCAATACACACTATTCTCCGCTCGCGAACAACATTTCCCGGTGGGAGAGCGTTTCAACACGTACGCTAAACAATAACACGGTCATGAGTAGATGGTCATCAGAATCATCTGTAACAGAGTCATGACAGATAAATTCACATTGTCGAATGTGTGCTATAGAGCGATTTGCTTCTGTTTTATTTAATACTGACCTCCTCTAGTGACAGTGGGTTTCCCTTCATTTTGGTGTCCAGGCTGTGATACCTCTCTGCAATGCAAACAATGAAATAACAGTCATGTATATGTTTTAAAGAGTAATGTATGAGAGAAGGGGGAATGGAAGTCATTTTCCAGCTAAGAAATTAATGGTATTAATTTCGATGTCACACCGTAACGTCGAATTGACATAGTCCTGTCACCTAACTGATACTCGTTGTTTTTTTTTATATTTATCGTTCGGATCAACATTGAATTTCTAACTGGGTTTTGATGAACAAGAAACACACCGTGTGCGAGATGTAGCCGGACCATGGCCATGACGAAACCCTCGGCGCTGATGAGCTGCCGTCGTGCGAACCTCAGCACGAGGCACTCCAGGACCTTGTTGGAGACGGTGGAGCCCGCCTCCCAGAGCAAGGGTCGCAGGTTGTACGATGAGGTGCGGGTGCTGTGCTGCTCGAACTTCTGAAACGCCAGCTGGGGAAGGAGGAGAAATTAGGCGAGATCCATGGCACGGACGACTTCAGACACACAAACGTGGTCTGTACTCACTTTCCAGAAGTGGAGCATGTGCATGAGGACTGGGATGTCGCCGAGGCTGATTCTGCCGCTGATGTTGTAGTCCCTCAGCATTATCAGGCTCTTGCACAGCTCGAGGCTGGGCTTTTCTGCTAGGTACGCTGCGAAAAAGTAAGAATGGCACTGGGATTAGAACTTGTGTGTCTCGATATCTAACGCAAGGGTCTACGCCCTCCTGGAAGTGTGTGTCACGGACGCAGAGCACAGCTACTTACCTCTCCAGTGCGATTTAAGTATCTTCTGAAGCAGGGCGACGTCCACTTCAGGCGGGTATTTGACTAGAAGTTTGCCAATCAGCGACCGCCCGTCCGGCTGAAATCAAAATAATTCAAATTACTTCCTATCCTTGGCAAAATGTGACGTTTTCGGGGGTAAGGGAATCGTCCAGAAGGTACGTCCGTTTTTTATCCGGCAAAGTACGGGAGCTCGGCGCCTGCGTCACTCAGTGTAGGCCACGCCGCAGTACACACATGCGCTAGGGGCAAGATGTTGCCTAACCACCGGGCGTTGTGAGAGCAGTGAGAGCTAGCAGAGGCCAAGTGAACTTGACCCTAATCCGTGGGGGATATTACTTACCAGCATGATCGGTTCCTCTAAAAACTCTGCTGATATGTTCCTGAAGACCATGTTGTCCTCGTTCACCTCCCTGCACAGAAAGATGTGAAGATTAAAGGAGCCCACCCCGTACGTTATACGTCGGTCTGCACAGCGCTGCATAGCAGCTCGGCCACCTCGCCGTATCCCGTACCAGATGTTGGAGTGCTCGTCCGTCAGCATCCTGAGCAGGAACTTGCCCTCCTGACCAGGGCGGTCCGTCTGCGGCACCACGATGTAGTCCCCCGGTGGTAGCGTAAAGAACGTGGCCACCTCCCGTGCCACCGAGTGGTTCGTCACGTCCAGCGGCCGCTGCGGAGCGAGGAAGGATTAGAGGGACACACGTCACGGAGGAGGTGCTTAAGGGCAGGGTTGCCCGGGGGCGGCCGCATACCCACCTGCTCCATGACGAACTGCGGGCTGAGGCGCGTCATGGCGTGCGGCACCTCGTACACGGCGAACCCGATGGCGAACAGCCGCTTCTTCTTCTTGTTGTCCTGGACGGCGGGCGCCGGCTCGTAGAACTGCGTCACCGACACCACGACGTGGCACTTGTTGGACGCGGAGCGTGGGATTTGGATGTGGAACTGCGGCAGATAGACAGGTTAAGATCAGTTTGATGCACGCCGGCATACACAAACAGGCTCCTGACGAACTCCCCAAACTTCTGTTGAATCTTGTCGAAGTTCACCATACCATCTCTCTCGCATCGTCCAAGTTCATCGAATAAGTCGCGTCCCCGTGGGGGGTGAGGCGAGTGCTCACCTGAGGGTTCATTGCGGTGGTGTCGGTGTAGGCGGGGCCGCCGCCCGCGTTGTAGCCGGCCCGCCAGCGCCGGCGCGCCAGCACCGCGCGCCACGGCTGCTTGGAGTGCAGCGCCGGCTCGCTCATCCAGTCGTCCGGCCCCACGTGCACCAGGTCCAGGTGCGTGAAGTGGCGCGCGAAGTCGTCGAACGACATCCTGGAACAGAACGGAGCCGCGCGCGGGTCGGGTGAGCGGAGCGGTCGGCGCCTGCGGATACCCGGGTAGGCAGCCCAACAGGCAGACGAGCGCGGCGGACAGCGCTGCGGCGGCCCGCCGGGCGGCGGGGGCGCGCCACAGCCACAACGCCGGGACTGCGTGGAAGGACAAGACCCCACCGAAAGTGGCGCACAGAGAGCCGACCGCGCTGAATAATGCAGACCCTACAAGCCGTTCGACAGCCGCATCGCGCGTTCGTCTCGCCGCCGCCGCCGTCGTGAAATCCTAGGAAACGCTGCTGAATTCATCCCACCCGTCCCGTTTCCGTGCCGTTTCGCGTCGTCGCCGTCGAACTGCTGCAACTCGTGCGTTCCGAATATTTAAAGGATGAGCGAGCGGCTGCCGCGGGGCCGCCGCCGCGGGCCTGGTGGGGTGGGCCACGGAGGCTGTTGCAGCCGCTGCCGCCGGCGTGGCGGGGCAGGTCCCGTTGCGACGCGTCGGCAGGAGGATGCCGGGCCGGGCCATCCTGGACGGGATGGGCCGCAGAAGGAGGAGATGCCGAGCGAGCGACAACCGCGAGCGGCCGAGCAACGGTGCGCAAGGTATTTGTCATGGAGAGCCAGCCGGGCCGGGCCGGGCCGGGCCGGGCCGGGGGACAACAACAACTACTAAAGTGATGCCACAATAAAAGCGACCATAGAGCAATCTCGAGTAAACTGAGTTGACAGAGAGACGACGGCTGCCGCAGTGACGGATGCGGGGGGATTGCCTGCGCGGTGTCGCCACACGACGCACCCCATGCCATCGACTCGGCGACGCTCTTCCTCTAGTTTAACGAGGCCTTCTGCTTACAAGCGCCCGCGGCACCGTTCGGCGAACGCCCCACCGCGCCCCGCCCCGCCCCACCCTGCGCCCCGCAGGAAGAGGAGCCAGCACAACTTATTACAAAATAAAAAGGGCACGCCTTAAGCAGTCCGTCACGACTACTGAGCGACTTGCCTGCCTAACCCGCTGCAAGGTGGGGGCAATGATGCCCCCCTCCCCGCCCCTCCGGGAAGGCTTTGCCACTGACCTCACCCAAGGCGTGCCGCCGGCCGGCGTGCCTGCCTGCCGCGGGACCGCCGCACCACACCGGCTGAGGCCCAAGTCAGGCCGGACCGGGGGGCCTCCAGCGGCTCAGTGATGTTCTGTCAAAGTCGCTGAAGGCGATAAAGGACAGGTAACAGACGTGCAGCGTATGACCCATAAAGCGGAGTTCAAATAGAACCGTTAAAAGACTCGTGCCGAGCCCCTTCACCCCCCACATCCCGCGATACACTTCAGCGGGCGGAACCGGCCGGTCCCAGAGTCCACAGTAGGATAGGCCTCAGCGGTGCGCTGGGCCGGCTCAAGCCGACTGGCGCGTCAAATTGCAGGTTGTCGATGGTGGTGGTGGCGTACGGCGGGGTGCCGGGGAGTTTGGACTTCTCTCAACAGTGTACCGCTACGGGGCGTTTCTGGGGCGTAGCAGCAGTCCCGGTGAGCGCCAGTAAACAGAACAGAGCGGCTATAAATTTACTAATGACTTTAATATCGGAGAATCGCTCTGTCTTGACGCCCCATACCTTTCCCTCGCTCACGCCCCGTCTGCCCGAAGTCCGCATTCATTTTGGGAATTCGAACGACCGTCATAGAAAATTGGAAAATTGATGGACGATCGTCAAATGCATGCACAGCAGCGCGGGGATTCCGAATTGCCGTCGATTTTGAGCACGACTCCGCCGCACCTGTACTGCGGGGCCTTGCAGTCGCGGGGACGCGCCGGGCGATACTCGGGTACCGTTGGGTTCGTCCCGTTCGCTCATGATATTGCAAGTGATGGTCAGTGATGGTCACACCCGCCGTTGGCGCGGCAGGCTGGCGGCGGCAGGGCAGGAGTAGAGCCTCCTGTGTCATCTGACGTTGCACAAAGTTTGAGCGCGGGCTGGCTACTGCTAGTACTAGTGCTGCCCGCCGGGGTGGTGGGGGCCCTGGGCGGGCTGCTGCTGCTGGCTACAGGCTGACCGATCGGCTCCGCCCCGCTCTCAAATAAATCGAGCGTTTTGATTGTATTATCCATCGCCCGCTCTGTGGCGCACGTCGGAGTAGCGAATAACCGTTCATCATGTTTTGACGCTTCGGGAAACAGTGCCCGCCCTGATTGCGTTTGCGAGGCTGAGCCGTTCGGGCTACAAATTAAACCGTATCAACGCAACGGACGGGAGAGATATTTCAATTAGAGAGTCCGAGGCGAGAGCCCCGCTGCTAGGCCACCGCGAGTAGGAGAAGGTCTTGTGAAATTATGACACCGTCCCATTAAAAATGATAAAGGAGTTTTGAGGTATCCATAAAACCAAAATTTCAGGGTCTATGAGAGATGTTCAGCACGACAGATAGAACAGTGAGATTCATAGTCTTTTCCGTCTAAAACAGTAAATGGCGAGAGACTAAAGTAAAGACATGTTTAATGTGTGTGACTAATAAAACAATTCGTGGAATCCACACACAAAACAACTGCGAGACCCACATATACCAGGTGGTTGACTCACGCCAGGCCGCGCACTTTCGCAGTTCTACTGTACCGCATGCACGAGTGAGGGCGGGTTGCCTACTCACACGGAGCCATAAGGAGCCGTCGACAGCGAGGAGGCAAACACACCCAGATGCGGTACAGCATAACTACGAAAGTGCACGGCGTAAGTAAGCTGTACCTTTTCATGTGGGTCTCGCAGTTGCGTGAATTCCACGAATGGCTCTAAAACCGTGACACACGCTGTCACGATGGGAGAAGGGAGTGTACTCACCAGAACTCGCCGTCGTTGCGCACGCGCACGGAGAGCAGCTCCTTGTCGCGCTCCGAGAGCCCGTCCCACTCCCAGGAGCGCTCGCTCCACGCGCCGGTCCACTCGCCGCGCGCCCAGGGGTTGCGCAGGCGCACCAGCGGCGTCTCCCCGAGCGGGCCGCGCACCCGCGCCAGCCCCGTCACCGAGTACGCGTGCTGCGTGAGCAGGCCGTTGCGCAGGCGCAGCTGCCGCTTGTTCTCCTTCTGCGTCAGATCAAACAGGCTTCAAACAACTTGAAACGCACAGCGGTGAAATTCCACGAATTTTGATAAAATTCGATGAAATTTAATGAAATGTCATAATGAAAAATTTGATGAAATTTCGATTGAAGTTCCTGAAATTTGATCACGAGAGAGAAGCTTCAATTAATTTCGGCATTGGCCGAACATCAATGAGCTTCGACGTTCACAAACTTCGATTTAAGTTCTCAAACTTTGGTGAGAAATTAAGATGAAATGATCAACAATGCGACTCAGTGTGTAGGGTGATTTCGGCGCAACTCTCCGAATTTCTCCTCGGGAGGCACAAGGGCCAGGAGGGGGCACCAGCATCAGCGGACAGATGAACGGTTGGATGGAGTCAGAGTCCTCTGTTAATTGGGGGTCAGCCTTAAAAGGGGAAGGCCGTTACGGTGGCCGTGCGGCTGGCCCAGCCCGGCCCGTCGGGCAAGCTATGGACCGGCGACGGCCGGCCGGTGGCGGACCGGACCCGGGCCTCTCCATGGTGGTCTACTGGCGAGCGTGGTGCGTGCGTGCGTGCGTGAGCATGTGTGCGTGTGTGCGGAGCAGCGGCAAAGCAGCCAGGTACAGGACGCGCACCGTGAGGCGACATGTTGAACGGACATGGTGGACAGGCCCCGGACAGGCCCCGGACAGGCTCTCTCTACGTGCTTCCCCAATCGATACCATCGCAGGGGTGGTTGTCCCGCACCGACCGGCCGCCTGCATCGTACTGTATGGAGCGCGCGGTGGGTGTGTGTAGTGTAGTGTACCGTATCATAGTGCGTTCAGTTCCCTCGTCGCCTCTCCTCCTCCACCTGAACACACAAGCCGCAGCACCATAGCAAATTGTTTCTTGAATTAAATGGAAACAAACAAACCTTGAAAGTGTAAAGAAAAAACAACAACCCAAAAAACAAGTTACTAAAAATTAATGTCTGCGCAGGCCTGCATTCCCCGCTTCTTCCAGATACCAACATCTTTCCAAATTAAACTAAAAGAACGATACAAAAAATATTTATATATCGATATATATTGAAGGTGGCGAGCGGGCGATTGCATCTAAACTGCGGCAAATCATCTCCTCAACTGCGTGCGTGCGCGCGCGCGCGATTGTGCGTGTAAAGCGCTTTCAAAAGTGGAAAATGATAGCAGGCGCATAAGCAGCGCACCCGCTTCCCTCCCCTCTCCCCACCCCACCCCCTCCCCATCCTGCCACGCCTTTCTTGTTCGCACCAGTTAGGTTTACGGATCCTTGATGATTGGAGGAAGCAGCCGTTTGCTTTGCAATCGATTCTCACGCCCCCTCCCTCCCCTCCCCCGCCCTCGCCCTCACCCGCTCCCTCGCTCACAGCCGCTCCAGTGGGGCACACAAGGCGACGTGCGGCGGCGCGGCGATCGTAAACGAAACGCGGTTTATGCAAACTGTATCAAATTACACGTGTGGTTATGGCGAGGGCAGCGCGATCGCACGCCCGATAAGGCAAAACGGCAAAAATCGCAACGAGATAAGCGCGGTTAAAAAATAAAGAACAGAGGGAAAGGAGAAGAGAAAATTAATTCTGTATTAGTCCCCCTAAAAATCCGTCTTGCTCACAACCACTCCTGCTCACAGAGAAAATTACTTCTGTATCAGTCCTCCTAAAAATCCGTCTTGCTCATGAGCAGTTGTGCACAACCACTCCTGCTCACAATCAGTCCTGCTCACAACCAGTCCTGCTCACAATCAGTCCCGCTCGCTCACTCACCGGCTGGATGCAGGCGATGAGCAGGCTGGAGCGCGGCACGGCGCTGTTGAGCACCTGGAACGTGAGATACCGGTCCTGGCTGGACAGGCCGAAGCTCTGCACGATGCCGCCCGTGAGGTCCTGGAGCGCGCGCGTCGTCATGCCGCACTGCAGGCCCTCGTAGCAGCCGTACCACCTGAAGGAGAGAGAAAGAGACAGACGACAGAGAAATAAAAAATAACAACGACAAATAATCGAGCAGGCGCTTGGCGCGGAGGGTGTGTGTGTGTGGTACTGACTTGGCGTAGGCCTTCTCCAGCAGGGCCGCCCAGAACTCGGTGCTGTTGGAGGAGTGCATGTACACCAGGCGGCCCTTGTGCGTGGGTAACCGGTCGTCGACGAGCACGTCCACCCACTCGCCAAAGTGCCAGAACCGAAACCTGCAACACGTAGAAGAAAAAGAGTGAGGGGGGCTTGTGAGATGAGCAGGAGCAGCAGGGGAAGGTCAGGTCACACGATACGACAACTAGCCCGCCTACAAAAAGCGAGAAGCACTATAGCACTGGCTGAACTCATCCGCCCCTCCCGCCCCGCCCCTCCACGCTCGCCGCTCTCCGTGTCACGGCGTGGCCACCGCATTACTGTCAGGACAGGCCTCCTCCTGCTCCTGGCCGGATTCCTAGATCGCTCCACAAACTAGACTGGTGAGATAGAATCCTTTCACATGCCTCGGCTGCTCCGCGTTCAGACACACACACACACACAGAGTAGTCGCGAGCACTCACACATGGACAAAGTGAAATGTGATTGGTCCTGTGCAGGGGCCACCTGGCAGCGTCCACACACAGAGAGCAGCGGGCAATGCGGCATTATTGTCTTTCCTCGCGGCTTTCTTTTCCTTTCTAACGAGTCGACCACCGCGCACCCGCATCCCGCCCCGTCAAGCGGCGGCGCCACGCCCCCGGCGTGTGAAAAAGAAAGACCCGCGACGGTTGCGGGATGGGGCGGGGTGCGGCGGGCGGGGTGCGGGGGGGGGCGGCCGCGACAATACCGTGTGATGGGTGTTATTGGGAGTCGCGTTATTGGCTCGCCACTCACATGAAACACACACACACACTCGCGCACACACGCTGCTGCACTGGCGACGTGTAGTAGCCCACCCCCTGCTGCCCCCCGCCGCCGAGCCGTGTCCGCCGTGAACGACACGACAGTGCACTTCTTGAGGGAGGCCGGGAATGCCCGCTGCTGCTGCTGCTCGCGCGGTGCCGTGTGCTGCACTCGGCGCTGCATCAAGCGGCGCCCTTGCAGCAGAGAGGAGCCGCTGCAAAGTAATTGCGGAGGCCCCAGAAATATGGTGTTAACAACGGCGGGCGCGCGGGCCCGGGCGGGCTGTGTGGCGGGGTGGGGTTGGGCGGGGCGGCAGCAATGTCGACTGGCGTGGCGGGGCCGCCACAGCTGGCGCCCAGCCACAGGCGTCTGTTCACACGCTGGCGAGGCTGCATCTCTTCGTTCGTCGTGGTCGTTGTCGTCGTCTTCATCATCGTCGTCGTCGTCGCTACCCTCCTCTTCCCCCCGACGCTCACCCTCACCGTCACGGTGTCGTATGCGATACGCTCTCGGCCGCCGCCGAGTCCAGTGACCAGTGACCACTGCGGCGGCGACTACCACCGCCCCTCCGCGCAGCAAGCCCGTTCCGATGGTCGTTGCTCCGAAAGGCAATTGGCCAAGAAGTAGTGGCGGTCAGAATCGGTCGGGCACGGCGGCGGCGCGGAGCGGTGCGGAGCGGCAGAGTCGTTACAGACATGTCACGACGCTGTCAGGGCCCGCCCCGGCCCCGCCCCGGCCCCGCCGCGGCCGCGCACCGACCCGTCAGGGCAGCGCGGCGGCCAGCGCGCGGACAACCTTTTCTGATTAAATCGTCATCGGCTACGTGACGTGGTGAGGCGCGGCCGGCGCGGCGCGGTCCGGCAGGTCGATGAGAATCTCCTCCCGCAGCGTGTGCGCGCGCGTGTGTGTCGTCCACGCAGCGCAGCGCATCGCGGGGCGGGCAAGACGGACCTGTGTGACATTGGAACGCGCCCCGCACCGCCCCAGCACTCTAGTCGCCATAAACCAAAAGGGGCCGCGCTCCGCCCGCCCCACCCCGCACCGCCCGAGCTCGCTATCATTCCGCGGGCGGACTGAGGAGCGGACTGTGCGCGCTTAGCGTTATCGGCCGCTGATCGGGGCTCGTCGTATTTACGGAATCGCAAAAATACACCTTCAAGGAGAGTCTGTTTTCTTCTGAATATTTTTTTTCATGCAAGGGGAAGGGTTTTGTGCGCTTTACTTTTTGCAAGTTGAGTTGCAAGTTGGTGATGCGAGAAGCTTAAACAGGATTATTGGCGCAAGGTGCCCTGCTTGCTCTGTTCATTTCTACAAGACCAAGGACACAACAAGTAACGCGTTCGTTTTTGAATCAGGTTTTTTCTTTCTAAAAAGAATAAAGAACAGAAATCTGACAAGGGCAACTAACCAGCCTGTTCCTCAGATGCAAGCTACGCCGAGCCCCTGCGAACTCTTGGGTAGGCCAACCGCCCAGCTGCGCTGCACAGAACCATAAATTTGCCTAACTACCAGGCGTTTTCTGCGGCATACGAATCAAAAATTTAATCCAGTCTATCTTTCCGTCTGTCCGACTGTCCGCCCGTCCGTCCGTCCGTCCATCCGTCCGTCCGTCCGTCCGTCCGTCCGTCCGTCCGCCCGTCCGTCTGTCTGTCTGTCTATGCCTTACTGTCCGTGTGTCGCACACGCAGGGAACGCATGACGGCATCCTAACATCGCAACACGACTTGGTCGTCCACGCCCGGCCCTGCCCCGTGTAGTACGTCACGTCCCATCCGGTCGGCGAGTGAGGCGGGTCAGTCACTCCGCCGCGCGCCGCCCGTTTGGTGGAGCCCCGGGGCCGAGCCCGAGCAGGGCAGGACGTCCTCGTGGTCACCCCCTCCCCCCCTCTCTCCCCTCTCACGGAGCGCCGCCGCCACGAGCTGAGCTCCCCGCCGCTCGTTTCCAGCGAGGCTTCCACCGGCCCGCTGTCAAGTCTGATCGCCCGCAGTCGCAATGGCGCAAAGAGAGCTCCGCCGGAGAACGGAGAAAATAAAAATACTAAAAAAAATGTGGAAAAAGTCGGCTGCTTAGGTCAGGTATCGTCCCTGCCGTCCCGCGCGCCGGTGATCCGACGGCGCGGTGATGTACGGCGGCATGTCGGCGCACGGCGGCGAGGCGCGGCCATCGCGTGGGAAAAGAAAGAGCTGCGGAGGGCTGCGCGGGACTTACCTAAAGATGCCGGCATAGTGCGCGTTGTCGAAGCCCTGGTCGGGCGGCACCACCCGCTCGAGGAAGCGCGGTGTGAGCGTGAGCGAGGACACGGCCGCCAGCAGCCACGGGTCGCCCAGCTCGCCCAGCTCCACGTCGAAGCGGGGGCCGGTGGTGGTCCCCGAGCCCGCCAGCGGGCCGGAGCCCGGGCCGCCGCCGCCGGGGCCGGGGCCCGCGCCGGGGCCGCCGTCCTCGGCCAGGAAGCGCGGCCGCTGGCACATCTCGTGCGGCCGCATCCAGACGATGGGCTGCAGCGGCGGCTTCTTGTGGTGGTAGAGCGCGCGGTTGCCCGGCGGGAACTCGGGGTCCTCGAACAGGCGGCCGCGCTCCCGGCACGACCGCCGGATCGCCTCGTAGTCACTCAGCGTCGCCCGCGGCCGCTCCGTCGTCCAGTACCTGCAAGCGAACAGTGGATTTCTTAGTAACTGTCGAAGAAAAGGGTTTAGTCGTTTTTCTAGTGAACTAGATGTTTTGTTTTCAACAGCCGTACGCCCATTTGGAAGAAACTGTGCTCGATCGTAGAGCATTCTCCTCACAATACCTTAAACGAGTAACCAGCACACAGGAAAACTGCGTAGATGCTTTTCCTGGGTGTGGTCGTCTTGTTGTGGCCCGGCCCACTATCCAGAGGCACTCGCCGGTGAGCCGCGCGCTCAGCGTTGCCTGTCCGCCCGCCGCCGCCGCCCCGCGGCACACACACGCTGACGCTGCGTCTCTAAATGGACTCGTCAGGCCGCAGGCGGCTGCAGCGCGGGTAGGGAGGGCCCAAGGCTGCTGCCAATACAGACTGCCATTAATTACACGGGCAACAGCCGCGCGGCCGGAGGCGGCCACGGCCAGCCCCGGGGTTCAGCCCCGCCGCAGGTCACGAGGAGCAGGAGCCCCCCGTGACAAGCCCGCGGACCTGCGAGGCGCTCCCGCCGTCTCCTTTCTCCTCCGCATGGTCCTCCCCGTGCGTGCGAACCTCCTCGCCGGACCGGCGGCGGCGCCGAGCGGCGCTCACACTCCAATCAATGTAACCGCGGGGGGCCCACTTTGGCTAGTAGTGTGTAATTCGTGTGCAAGCGGTGCGGTGCGGTGCGGGGCGGGGCGGGGCGGGGCGGGGCGGGACGAAGCGACCCGCGGGTCTAGGTCTGCGGCGCTGCATGCGCGCAGTGGAGCGGGGCCCGGGCCCGGCACACCTCCAAACAGCTGTCGGGTAATCGGGCATCCCGTTAACGAGTTAATAATATGCGCCTGCCTGCGCCTTGGCCGCTCAGCGCTCAGCGGCGGTGCATCACCGCGCGCGTCGCCCACCCCGCCCCGCCCCGCCGCGGCCCCACGCAGCTCGCCGCGCCCCGGCCGAGGCCACGCCCAGCTAATCGCGGCCAATAACTCGCGTGACATTTCGGACGCGTTAAAGAGGAGAAATCAGAAATCACACCCCCGCGAGCCTGTGTTCGCCGCGTCCGCCTGGCGTGAGCAGCACAAACGCGTGAGCGCGGGGACGGCTGCGGGGTGGAGTGGGCGAGGCGGCCTAAGGAGGCACTTGGCCGCAGCCCACCTGCACGCCGGCGGCGCAGCGAGCGAGGGCCCGCGTAGACACGGCCTCCTCTGCGGCACCAGCATCGGCGTCCTCTCGGCTGAGCGACCATGCAGAAGCCCCTTGTGTCCTGTACTGCCAGCAGCGAGTATAGCATCGCGGCGACCCCAACCTTTACGGCTCGCGCGGGCGTGCGGCGTCCTGCATGACCCGCAGCACTGCGTTATCGCGGCCTCCAGCGCCTACCTCCCCGGGCCGCGCGCCCCGCGCACACACCCGGCCGTGCGTCCCGCCCTGCCGCCAGTTCCCATGGTATTTGCACCGCGGGGCTCCGCGCGAGGAGCGCAAGGCCAGCCTCCCCGAGACCCGCGGCAGGCCCCGGCTGCGGGTTCAAGGGCTGAGCGCGGCGCAGCAGCAGCCCGCTCAATGGAGTCCCTCCCCCTCCCCCGTCGCAGCCCCCTTTCGCTTTCCCTTGTATGATGATGTGTACCCGCTGGTGGCGCGGCGCGGTGGGGCGGGGCGGGCACCAGTCGTGACGCGCCTGGCACACATACCAGCGGAACGGGGTATCAGTTGTCGCACACAATCGGGTACCGACGGCGACGACGGCACGCGGGGTCTTGGCCTCTCGCTCTCAGCGGCGGTAAAGTCTCCGCAATTGTCGATGTTGAAGGGGGAATAAAGAAGCTCTCATAGGACTACGAGCAGGTGTAAGCTGGAGTGTAGTGCATTACCTCCAGCCGGCGGACTACCTACTCACTCGGGACAGAGAGTGGATAAGCAAACCCGCCCTTGTGCGGTTGTTCAGTTTAGAGTGAAATCACAATGATAGTGACAATTAATATGAACAAATGCCAAACATTACTTACAAAATTACCATATTAAAAACAAAGCATCAAAAAAGTGAAACATTTGAGTAGCGTAGTTGCGTTATGCGCGGGCTTAGGACCTGACGTCTTTATTGGCCATACAGTGGCGGCGTGGCGCGGCGTGGCGCGCCGTGGCGTGGCGTGGTTCGTCGTGGCGTATCGTGGCGGAATGGCACAATGTACCCCGGGCGCGCCTCGAGAATAAACTCGCGCTCCGGAGATACCAGACCAGATTCCCCCATGACGATGACGGTCGTGACAAAATTTTTTAGTGTGCGCGCCATAGCCTGTCGCACGAGGGGGAGAAGGGGCGGGGAAAAAGAATGGGCTTGAGCTCGGATATCAAGCGATAAAGTGCGAGGGGACGGGGTAGCGGGGGAGGAAGGGGGCTACCCGGCGAGCACGCGGATGCACACCGATCCGAGTGTCATTAATAACACCTTTCCGAGAAGGCGTCACTCTCGGCGCTGCCCAGCCAGCCGGGCCCTGCGCGGCCAGGCAGTGGCAGCAGCAGCGGCAAGCCTACTCCGAAATTATGTTTCGGAACTCGAATTAGAGAGCCGGAATCATCCTAATTGAAAAGCCGCGCCCGCCTCGAGGTTCATCTTGTTCGACTTACCTCGAGCCCTGCACTACACGGAGAAGCGTCGTTTCCGAATTCAAGTCAAGTACACATAGTGTTCTTTAGGCCAAAATTTTAGTTTGCTTTTAACTTGTATACACTCTAAACGTGAAAGGCAAGGACAGCGAATATGCGTTCTTAAGCTGATCTCAATCGAGGAGCGAGGACTAGTTTTTGTGGGTGTGGAGCGAGCTTCGGCTGGACGCACTACCGCGCACCGCGCACTGCCATCATCCATAAGTGTAAAGCAGAGCTCTCTGCCTCGTCGATGGGGTTTTCCCTCAACTAACAAAGGAACGTTTTCCGGTCGGCGATACATTCAGAATTCGATTGCGCTTTAAACTGTTGTTGTTGCCTGTTGTTGACAGCCCTACAGTTTTTCGCCAGGCCAAGTGAAATGAAATTACTTAGTTTACTTATTACAAGAACGGGACTTTTGGGTTGTGAGGGAGCAGATAGCAAGACTGATCAGGGCGCATGTAAATTTCGAGAAAAGAGAAGGAAGGGACTTGACGCGAGGCAGGTTGGGCAGGCATTGGCAGAGACAACAGATCGGCTGCGGCTGGTGCGCGGCTAGATCTCAGCGCTCAGAGCTCAGCTCAGCCGCCGCGCTGCAGGGCGTGATGGCTTTGTAACAAGCCCCCCGGTATTGCGAGCGCAGAGCAACATGACGCGGCAACCTCCTAAATTACAGAGACAAGTTCTGTCCGACCATTCTCTGTCTCCTTCCCTCTCTTTCCCCTTCTCTCTCTTCCTCTCTCCCCCCTCCCCTCCCTCCCCCATCCATTTTCTATCCGCGTGCTTCTTTCTGATGCGCATTCTGCCGACCCCCTCCTCTTCTCTTTTTTTGCCTCCTCCGCCCCGCCTCCTTCCGCGCAGCGTTTCTTTCTGACCGCGCGGCGGCACTGCGCATCTCTATTCAGGTTCGCCTCCGAGTCCTCGCGAGCAGCTCGCCGTCGACGGTCCAGCACTGAGTGCACGAGAGCTGACGCTGACACACAGGCCCGCCTTATGAACCTCTTCCCCCCGCCTCCAAATAGGGCTCCAATAAGTAGAGCTCCCCATCCGAGTGCCAGCCGCGGAGTACCTCACCACAAAGTCAAGCGAATTTTCTGTTTACCTTTTCTGATTGTTCCAGGTTTTTCCTGGATTTTTCGTAACATTTGTTCCGTATATTTGTGGAGGCTGTACACAATTTCTTTTGATTGAGGTCCCCCCTAGTGCCAGCTGCATGTCCCTTGGAACACCTCCTGGGGCCTGCTCGAGGGGGCTCTGCATAGCCGATTCTTCTTGTTCTTCGAATCGAATTCGCTGGCCGCCTCGTCTCGCGTCTCTAGTCGGCGCCGCGCTCCTTCCAGGAGCGAGCGGTGCTGCGGGTACATAGCAGGCCATTCCCCATTCATCATCCGAGCAGCCAGCACTCCGGGCCGGGTCAGCCCGGGCGGGGCGGGGCGGGGCGGGGAGTGGCGAGGTGGGGCGAGGTGGGGCGAGGTGGGGCGGGGCGGGGAAGGGCGGGCCTGGGCCTCGCGGAGGACCAAGGCTACTGATCCGATCGCAGCCTCGCGGGGCGAGGTGGGGCAGGGTGCGGCGGGGCGGGGCGGCCCGCGTACCGCGCCGAACAATGCGCGCCCGCGGGGTAGGCCGGCCCGCCACACGCGCACGCCGGGCGGGGTCGCCTACCTGGCGGCGGGCGGGCGGGCGGGCGCTGCGCTGCGCTGGCGCTGACGCACCACGACGACACACGACTGCACACGACACGTACCTGGAGAGCGTGGACTGCTTGTCGTCTGGCTTGTGGAGGCCGCCGTTGATCCAGTGCCGCGTCTGCGGACCGTTGCCGTCTGCAACACAAACACACACACACACATAGAAGTTTAGTCCCGCTGGAGAGTGTCACTGCTGGAGGGGTGCGGGGGCGCGAGGACCCTCCGGAACAATGGGGCATTACCGGCTGGACTGGACCAGGGGCTGGAGCCGGCGGCCGGCCACGAGGGCCGCTATCGCGATGGAACGGAACCCTTATCAGCGGACAAATGAGACTGCGCCGGCCACCGCTCCACATAACGCCGCGCCGGGGCTGGTCCGGGGCCGCCGGGGCAGGACGAATCTATTTCGAGAAGCCTCCGGTACCGCGGGCCCGGTGGTGGGGACCACTTCGAGCGGAGCGGCTCGCAATCAGCGGCGCCAATACAAACAAAAAGGCCACCATCGACGCGTGATTAAAAGCCTTCCCCATTCACAGAGCGGGCACTCCATGGGGGACCACACACACTCACTCACACTCACACTAGCGCGCGCGCACACACACACACACACACACACACTCTCACGTGCACGATAAGTCTCACTTTATATCAAGTATGGGCGCCGGACAAAAGCCTCGTAAAGACCCTCACCGAGGCGCCCTGGCCTCTACGACGGGGATGAGCACGAGCGTGAGCGTGAGCACCAGAAGGAGGAAGTCGTCGAACCTTTTACCACCTGGCTCAGATCCTCACTAAAAGTGAATTTAAATGAGCTTTTAAAAAAAATCAAAAGAAATCTCAATAGCTCGTCAAGAATAGAGGCATTTGTGGGTGGTGGACGTTCAAGTCACGTGACAGTGAGTGCCCGCGAGTATGGACTCCTGCCAGTGGCGTGGCTGAGGGGCGCTTCCCCCCTCCCTCTCCCTCGGGCTGCACGCGCGGCACTTACCGGCCCGTTATGAATGGCCGGCCACAGTGTGAATGAGCCGGTCGAAAGTGCACCGCCACAAACACTCGACTGCATGCACAATTCATATTGCGACGCGAAAAAAAACAAAAATAATCGACGCCTTTCGTGTTTTGCTCGTCACTGGTGACAAATAATTGGTTTACAGGAATATGTGCCGGATTTGGGGGCGCGTAAGAAATCCTTCCTCTGAAAACCGAAATAGAAATCTTTTTTCGTGTGTTATAATTGTCAATTTGTTCGCTTTGCTCGCTGTTTCCAAAGAAGGGCACCTGCTCTCTCGCAGGTCCGCTCGCTTCGCCCGCAGCGGATGCGCGCGGTCCGCGGCCCCCGGACCCTTCCCAAAAGCGAGAGGCCAGCAGGGCGGCCCGTGTGTGTGTGGCACTGTGCAGCAGATGTGGGTCACTCAGTCAGCGCCGCGCCGCAAGGGTTCCGTTCGACGCGTCTCGCCCGCAGAGCCCAACACACTCACACGAGAGCAACGTGCTACACGCGTCGCGCGCGAAGGTTTCCTAAAAGCGACCCGCCGCGAGAGCCGCGAGCGCCTAGACACCGCCATGAATTAAACACGAATTCTGCCCCCTACCCCTACCCCTCCACTCCCCGCGTCCTTCTCACCTTCCCTCCTCCGTCCCGCAATAATGGCGTGATGAAGCGAATCAGCGGCGGATCCTATTAAAATTCATTATTTGGTAGAGATTGTGGATCCGTCTCAAAAACGCGCAGGGGGAAGAGG